TGCCTCTTGTGGCAGAACAGATAGAATTCACAATAGATAACAAAATCAAGCATGCGCCACCATCATCAAATTCAATCAAATTAAATATTTTCCAGCATCATAGAATAAAAAAAACGAGTAGTGTAACCTGAGAGAGTGCATTGGGAACCTCAGAATGTGCAGTGTAAAACTAACTGTTAAACTTGATAAGAGTGAGCTCACTCAAATCCCACACCTTCAACACCGTCTGTATGGCTTTTAAGCATGCAAACAGACCTTGAGATCATGGACTTTGGAGGAAAATCTTTTGTTAGTTAGTTACCAAAAAGGACTTCTGCTCCCTCAATGGCTATTCCAGCTTGCTTGGGGAGACCATCCCTGGCTTTGCTGGCCACAAAGATGCCGAGGACAAATGTAGTAATGGCTTCTTGGACAGCTGCAGCATCGTAGTCATCGAAAACCTGTGAAATACACCAGAGAGATTAAAACTTATTTATTGTACAGTATAGTAATGTGAAGGATGCATAACTCTTTGTTCCCTCTCCAAACAGAAGATCAGATTGTTGTGGTAGTTTTGAGTAGTATTGTACCTTAGCAAGGCTGTCTACAGGTATCACAGAGTTCAATTAAATGCCATGTAAGGCCATTGTAAGTCAATTTAAGACCTATTGTTGGAGAAATCATCTTTCGCTCATTCAATAAAGCAATGCAGCTTCATATAAAAAGCATCATATATTTGGTTCTGTTAGCTACATAATTCTATAAATGGTTATACATCAGTCATTACTTTCTTGTTCTTTCACTACAGCGTTTTTAATAATCATATAGCAAAGCAAAATCATATTCCAATAGATTCCAATCTTCAAAATTCCATAAAATAATCAAATCCAATTGTTAGCAGCAGTTATCAGCAAACTCCAGGATATTCTTGTACATAGAGTACAAGTAGTCTCTAGATGTCTGTAATGATTTTCCATGTTTCACTGCAGCAGTTTTAATAATTAGACGCTAAAATATTTATGAAGACCACAATGGAAATAAGTCCTGGACTTAGTGTTTTTTATCCTTGATTGTACTTTGTGTCCTTCATGTGTAAGGCATTTTAATACAATTAAATGAATCAAATCCCAATAATTTCTACATAGGCACATTATTAAAAATCTACTAAAAAATCTTGTCAAATTATCATCAGCAAACAGCTATTTTTGTACAAACTTGTCTCATATTGACAGGGCTTTGAATCAGAGTTATATTTTCTTTACCTGGTAGTTCTTGATTAACTCTCCAGTGTTTTCACCAATGTAGAGAGTGAGGCCTCTGATCACAACTTCTCTTCGGGACTCAATGTTGCTGTCCTACAAAAATATGAAATGAGAATTTTGAGAATAAATAATTATACTTTATGTTTATTATTGAGGTTGTACTGGGTGGCTGGGTGGTGCTGGTGTAATGGAGTGCAATATATTGAAAAGTGTTAATATTTTGTCCCCCTCAAATATGGTAATGGATTGGACAAAAGTACAAGGATCTCTGCTCAATATAATGCACTCGAGTCCAGTACACTACCACTATGAACTCAATAATAAACATAAAGTAGAATTATCACCTTTCTGACAATGTCAACAAAAACCAAAAATGTATAAGCTTCATAAAAATAGACTTTATGGCAGAACTGTTGTATTGGATTGCATTAGATTGCACACGTGTTCCTAATGAAGCCTGTAGATCGGTCAAATATTACAGATTATATTGCTGAAGCTTATTGTTCTGAGGCATATGCATGTTAAAGAGCATACGACTGTTCAGGAAAGTATGAAACTCAAGAATTGAAAGAAAAAACTGAACTTAAACTAGGCCATCTTCAATAACGTAATCAGGCAAGTATGGCTTTTATTCTGACAGCCGCCTCAGGTAAATATACTGCTAATTTTTCCCCCCACAGTTAATCAGGTAAGTTTAGCCTTTATTCTCAAAGCTTCATGAGCTAAGCATTGTGTTCATTAGCTTGCACATATAATGAAGTCAACAAAGTTTTTCTTGGCAGTTTAATTTTGGCATGGGCCTGGCTGAAATTGGGAATTAACAAGTGCCCCCAAAACACTCTTGAATCTTAAAAACAGGAAGATGTGCGACTTTCAAAATTGCAAAAGTAAACTAATAAAGCATTTTTAGCAAATGTAATGTTTTTTAAAAATTAATAGCAAACTCTCTCCAGCTAGTAACACACACATGTTGCAAATACATTTACAATAAAGTTCTAATAAATCACGCTGTTCTAGATACGGATGAATTAAACACCTAAAATATATATAACCAACTTTTTGTCAGGCCCATGAGTGAACAGTGAATCTAATTTTTGCCCCACATTCGATACTACAATTAAGCAAGTGTTTGTATTTACAAACCTTCATCTGTAGTTGTAGAGTCACCTGGTAAGGATACCTTCATCCAGTGTAGTTGTCTAATTTCTGGCGATCCCGTTAGCGCTTCGAACCAAGCCTTAAACATAGCAGGAGTGTGGTTTTTCCTTACAGCCACATACTAATGTTAACTTCAAATTACACTAGAATCAACTATTTCCTATTTTTGACGCTTGACGCGAGCAGCACGCGTCAATATATACAGACCGAATCAAGCGGGCAGAAGCCAGACACAGAAAAAGCAAAGAGAATCCGGTGAATTTTCAAAATAAAATACTCCGTGCAAACTGCCGGTCGTTAAAACAGACAAAAGCAAAACTTATTAAATACGTAGCATATTTACACATGTAGAAGCATGTTTAGAAGAACATACACCGAGAAAATGGCTAAATCTGAGCAAGTAAACAAAGTCTGGCGGGCAACATTTAAGCTAAATTTAAGGAGGAGATTCCTTCAGTGTTTAATTCAATGCCATGTCTGAATTTAACAGAGTCCTATAACGACTTCAGTCCCTCTGAAATTGATAATCTTGTCGATAGTGCTGCAGGCTCACTACGATCAACATTAGACTCTATCGCTCCTATAAAAAGGAAATTATTAAAACATAGGAGACTAGCACCGTGGTACAACCACCAAACCCACCAGTTAAAACAAATAGCTAGGAAATCTGAAAGGAAATGGCGCTCTTCCAAATTATCAGAATATCGCTCAATTTGGCAAGATAATCTTAAAATTTATAGAAAGGCCCTCCGTAATGCCAGAGGAGCCTATTACTCAGCATTAATAGAAGAAAATAAGAATAACCCTAGGGTCCTCTTCAGCACTGTAGCCAGGCTGACAGAGAGTCACAACTCTATTGAGCCACATATCCCCATAAACTTAAGTAGCAATGACTTCATGAGCTTCTTCTATAATAAAATTATTACTATTAGAGAGAAAATGAATCACCAACTGCCATCAACAGTTATCAGTGGCTCTCCAAGTTCAGGGACTTTTACTAATGTAAAGATATATATTTAGACTGTTTTTCTGCTATCGATCTTCATCAGTTAACTTCAATCATTTCTTCATCGAAGCCATCAACCTGTCTATTAGACCCGATCCCAACTTGGCTGCTTAAAGAAGTTGTTCCCTTAATTGGCACTTCTTTACTGGATATGATTAATCTTTCTTTATTATCAGGATATGTACCACAGTCCTTTAAAGTAGCTGTAATTAAACCCCTTTTAAAAAGTCCACTCTTGACCCAGGGGTTTTAGCCAACTATAGACCGATTTCTAACCTCCCCTTCCTCTCTAAGATTCTGGAGAAAGTAGTCGCCAAAGAGTTGTGTGACTTTCTATATAACAATAGTTTATTTGAGGATTTTCAGTCAGGATTTAGAGTTCATCACAGCACAGAGACAGCTCTGGTTAAAGTTAATAATGACCTTCTGATTGCTTCTGACGATGGACTTGTCTCTGTACTTGTATTATTAGATCTTAGTGCTGCATTTGACACCATTGACCATGATATTCTTTTACAGAGACTTGAGCATCAAATTGGCATTAAAGGAACCGCACTAAGCTGGTTTAAGTCATATTTATCAGATCGCTCGCAGTTTGTACATGTTAACGATGAATCTTCAATAAATACTAGAGTTAGTCATGGAGTTCCACAAGGTTCTGTACTTGGACCAATACTATTTACTTTATATATGCTCCCTTTAGGCAACATTATTAGGAATCACTCCATTAACTTTCACTGTTATGCAGATGATACGCAGTTATATCTATAAATCAAGCCCGATGAAATTAATCAATAATCTAAATTACAAACATATCTTAAGGACATAAAATCCTGCATGACCTGCAATTTTCTGATGTTAAACTCAGAAAAAAACGAAATTCTTGTTCTTGGCCCCAAAAACCTTAGAGACTCACTGTCTAAAGATATAGTTACTCTAGATGGCATTAACTTGGCCTCTAGCACCACTGTCAGGAATCTTGGAATTATCTTTGATCAGGATTTGTCATTTAACTCCCACATAAAGAAAACCTCTAGGACTGCCTTCTTTCATTTACGTAATATTACAAAAATTAGACACATACTATCACAGACAGATGCAGAAAAACTAATCCATGCATTTGTTACTTCAAGGCTGGATTACTGCAACCCTTTATTATCAGGTTGCCCCAATAAGTCCATTAAAACGCTCCAATTAATTCAGAACGCTGCAGCACGAGTACTGACAGGAACTAGAAAAAGAGATCACATCTCTCCTGTACTAGCTTCTCTGCATTGGCTCCCTGTAAAATGTAGAATAGAATTTAAAATCCTCCTCCTCACCTATAATGCTCTTCATGGTCAGGCCGCTTCATATCTTAAAGAGCTCATAGTACCCTATTACCCCACTAGAACACTATGTTCTCTGAATGCTGGGCTACTTGTGGTTCCTATAGTCTCTAAAAGTAGAACAGGAGCCAGAGCCTTCAGTTACCAAGCTCCTCTCCTGTGGAACCAGCTTCCAGTTGTGGTTCGGGAGGCAGACACCCTCACCATATTCAAGAGTAGGCTTAAGACACTCCTCTTTGATAAAGCTTATAGTTAGGGCTGGATCAGATGAGTCCTGAACCATCCCTTAGTTATGCTGCTATAGGCCTAGACTATCGGGGGATTTCCCATGGTGCACTGAGCTCCTCCCTTCCTCTCTCTTTCTGCACTCATTCATGTTCCATTAATGCATGTTACTAACTTCACTTCTTCCCCAGAGTTCTTGTGCTTTCTCGTCTCGCAGGTCTTATCAATCCTGGTGGAGCCTCCTGCCATGGTCCTGCTAGATTGCCATTGCCAATACTGTTGTTGCTGTGCACCTGTCTGTCTGTCTGTCTGTCTCTCTCTCTCTCTCTCTCTCAACGAGACAGACGACCACTCACCTAGAGCCGAAGGATCTGTCCTAGGTTTCTGCCTTTTAACAGGCAGTTTTTCCTTGCCCTTGTCGCCAAGTGCTTGCTCATGGTGGTACTGTTGGGTCTCTGTAATTAATGTTTTAAAGAGTTTGGTCTAGACCTGCTCTATTTGAAAAGTGTCCTGAGATAACTTCTGTTATGAATTGGCGCTATACAAATAAAATTGAATTGAATTGAAATTGAATTAAACGCTCGCTTCTGAAACGCTCCCGGTAGGTTTTGAAGTCGCGTGCAGGACGGACCACGCAACGGGCGGCAGAGGGACCCGGTGGATTTTTGGTGCAATTTAACGTCACACACGAGGCCTCGAGTAAAGCCACTTGCTAACGTTCATCTTCAAATTAAACGAAAAGACTCTACAGCGTTATGAAAACTAGAAACTAGCACCCCAACAGGCTGGCGCCGTCTAATTTCTGGCGGTCCTGTTGGCTGGCGTTCGGAGCCACGACACAGAAAAACCACATACAACATTCTGAAAACTGAAAAGACAGTAATGTCTAATCTAACCAGCTACTTAGCAAAATGTATTCTTACCTTAAAGTTCAGTCGACTCAACCATAAGCTCGGCCTCTGGAAATGTGGCACTCTGCTGTTTTCATGCAGGAGGTACCCAGAATGCAAGTGTCAGTTGGCGGGATTACGGAACAACGTAAATGAAACAAGTTTATTGTTTGTTGAGTGTTTGTACTTGAGAAGATCGACTGGGATAACTAAGTAACGCTTGTAAATGAAAAAATACTCAATATATTGTATTTTGAACAAATTCATATTAATTTCAGACGATACATTTTCATGTAAAGATGCAAACAGATTTTTATTGTTAATTTCACAGATTTCATTAAGGTTATTTTTACAAATGCTCAATCACTTTTTCAGTGCAGAGTTGTAGAATTTTGGTTTTGATCTCAGAGTTATAGACTTTTGGCTTTGGTCTCAGAATCCTTGAATTTTGCCTTTGATCTCAGAGTTATAGAATTTTGCCTTTGATCTCAGAATTATAGAATTTAGGTTTTGATCTCAGTATTATAGAAAAAACATTTGTTACTGCAGTTCATTATCTTCTTGAATTCTACCTTTGATCTCAGAGTTATAGAATTTTGGCTTGCTTTGATCTCAGAGTTATAGAATTTTGCCTTTGATCTCAGAATTATAGAATTTTGGCTTTGATCTCAGAATTATAGAAAAAACATTTGTTACAGCAGTTCAAGATCTTATTGAATTTTGCCTTTGATCTCAGAATTACAGAATTTTGGCTTTGATCTCAGAGTTATAGAATTTTGGCTTTGATCTCAGAATTATAGAATTTTGCCTTTGATCTCAGAATTCTTGAATTTTGCCTTTGATCTCAGAGTTATAGAATTTTGGCTTTGATCTCAGAACAATAGAATTTTTGCTTTGATCTCAGAATTCTTGAATTTTGCCTTTGTGGTCCCAAAGCCTTCCAAAAACTAGAGACTAGGTGGGTTCTAGGTGGGTTGTAGTGAACCAAGCAGAATTACTCAGTTAACCAGGTAACTTCTAAAATAGTATGCCATGACTTTTGTCAATAAATTATCACGTTTCCTTTTGTGGCCAAAAATTATTCGTTTCAGGATTTAACTACAACATTGTTTTACATGCTATTGTTTCCAATAAAGTATTTTTGAAAAAATAAATAAATCTGCTAGGGTTAATCTAAGAAGTCTTGAATTTTGCCTTTGATCTCAGAGTTACAGAATTTTGGCTTTGATCTCAGAATCCTTGAATTTTGCCTTTGATCTCAGAGTTATGTAATTTTGGCTTTGATCTCAGAATCATAGAATTTTGGCTTTGATCTCAGAATTCTTGAATTTTGCCTTTGATCTCAGAGTTATAGAATATTGGCTTTGATCTCAGAGTTATAGAATTTTGGCTTTGATCTCAGAGTTCTAGACTTTTGCCTTTGATCTCAGAATTATAGAATTTTGCCTTTGATCTCAGAATTCTTGAATTTTGCCTTTGATCTCAGAGTTATAGAATTTTGCCTATGATCTCAGAACTATAGAATTTTTGCTTTGATCTCAGAATTCTTGAATATTGCCTTTGTGGTCCCAAAGCCTTCCAAAAACTATAGACTAGGTGGGTTCTAGGTGGGTTGTAGTGAACCAAGCAGAATTACTCAGTTAACCAGGTAACTTCTAAAATAGTATGCCATGACTTTTGTCAATAAATTATCACATGTTTCCTTTTGTGGCCAAAAATTATTAGTTTCAGGATTAAACTACAACATTGTTTTACATAGTATTGTTTCTAATAAAGTATTTTTTAAAAAAATAAAAAAATCTGCTAGGGTTAATCTAAGAATTCTTGAATTTTGCCTTTGATCTCAGCGTTATATAATTTTGGCTTTGATCTCAGACTCATATAATTGTGGCTTTGATCTCAGAATTCTTGAATTTTGCCTTTGATCTCAGAGTTATAGAATTTTGGCTTTGATCTCAGAATTCTTTAATTTTGCCTTTGATCTCAGAGTTATAGAATTTTTGTTTTGATCTCAGAATTATAGAATTCTGGCTTTAATCTCAGAGTTCCAGAACTATGACATGTAGTACGAGCAAAAGTCAGTATCTACAGTCAGGGTGAGCAGTGTGGTTGTGGGCTTCTGCAGATTGAGAGGGTGCAACAGGGTGGATCCCATGGAAGACAGCTCTCTGATATAAAGGGCTCATCAGATTTGCCCTTTATACTGGTGTACAGGTATTTTCAATTATGCATCTCATTACACAGACACTCAGACCTTAACCATGAGTGAGATGGCTGTTTGTTTCACGTCCTTTCTCATGTGAGAACTAAATGAACCATGTTGTACAGTCAGTCAATGATGATTTCTGGTGACTTGATGTTGATCAAATATGATGCATGCAACTGTGCATTTGTAACTCCGGGGCAATCTGAGACTGACTGATACACATGGTTCAAATTTTACATCCTCATACCTTCGGGTCACAAGGTGTCAGTGGTATACGTGATATCATGTTTGATCAGAGTCCGTCAATCATGAACGACTGCACAACATTTGCTTCTCACATCAGAAAGGACGTGAAACCAACAGCCTTCTCACTCATGGTTAAAACTAAAAACCACCATTGACAGTATAAGGGCCCACCCATGGACATGACATCCGCTGTCCTCCTAGGGCCCTTGTGATCAGATGGGCCCCAGTGCACCAGCAGTACATATTCCACTGACACCTCGTGGCCCTGAAGGTGTGAGGATGTAAAATTTGAGCCAGGTGTATCAGTAAGTCTCAGTAAGAAGGTTTATTTCATATTTGATCAACGTCAAGCATCATCATCATTGACTGACAGTTCTCACATCAGAACAGCGGGGCTTGGGAGTGTTCAGCAACAGTCTTTTAAGTCATGGTTTCAAATTATGAACCAGCACAAAAATTACACTTTGCCAACCAACATAAAGCAGCTTGTTCTAATACTACCTGGTTTGCTGCTTGGTGCTGCAGAGATGTGAGCCTGTGTCTGCTCTCATTGGCTGTAGCTCATTTCATGGCTGCCCGACACCATCAGATATTTAACTTAGATATTTTACAAGAATGAGGATTTATTGAGTGGAAAAGAGACAAATCTTCAACACCTTATGGCCCTGAAGGTGTGAGGATGTAAAATTTTAGCCATGTGTATCAGTCAGTCTCACAAGGGAGGTTGATATCATATTTGATCAACAAGATACAAAAATCATCATTGAATGACTGTTCAACATGGTTCATTTAGTTCTCATATCAGAAGAGCAGGGCTTATGAGTGTTCAGCAACAGTCTTTAGAGTCATGGTTTCAAATTATATATCAGCACAAAATTACAATTAGACGACCAACATAAAGCAGCTTGTTCTGAACACATTTCAAACACTAAAACACTGAACATGCTGAATATTTGCAATTTAAACGTAAATTTACTTTCAAATACAAGCCGCACACTGCATGATGGGGAAATGTGCAAATTAATAACTGACTGTCAAATAAGAAATTGTAACGTCATTTTGCAGCAGCAGCCTTGGTAGCATAAAGTTAGCTTCCTGGGTCGTCGGAGGGGAGCGGAGCAGGGAAACAGAGTTATTCCTCGTGGAAAACTTTCAAACTTTCACTCTCTCCAAAAATAAGTTTAACATCCTACTTGTTGGTCAGTTCTTTGACTGGAATGGTATGCTATACAAGTAGTAAATATCAAATTCCCAGAGTCCCACACCACTTGGTCCCATGGTCCCTTACTCACTCAGTAAAAATCATCTGATACCACTGTGAGAGGTTTATGCTTTTCAATAAAGCATAAGAATAATAAAAGTGTTTCTGGGATGCTTCTTTGGTGTATTTGACTTAAGATGGAAAATATTTCATAATAAATCTTTTAGTTTCACTTGCTGAATTCCACAGATGCAAATTAAGTGACTCTAAACTCTTTCCTGCTTACTTTGTCAAAAAAATGTGATGTGGAATTTTGAGATAAGACAGGATAAGATAAACTTTATTGATTCCACACCAGCTAAAAACATTTGTTACAGCAGTTCAAGATACACAAAATTACTACATACACCTTGTATTTACTGATATTGTAAAAGGAACATTGCTCAGAGATAACTGCACAGATTATTGTAAGTGTAAAAATAAATATAATTGCTCATATAATACAAAATATAATACAAGTCAAAACAAATTTTTTTTTTTAAAAAGCCACACAATTCAGTTTATTGCAAGTGCCCACATTTATTTTTGCCCAAAATAAAGGAAAGTAGCCCACTATTCATGGGAAATTGCCGGGAAGCTTTGGTTTTGTATATCAGTCAGACACCAGCCTTCCA